TGAAGGACTGATCGGTGCGCTGTACATCAAAGCTCACTATCAGCTATAGCACATAGACAGCTACAATCAGCACTGAAGGCAGGAACCTCTCATTTTCTATGTCAGCTACAGATTACTGATCTATAGCCGACTCTCCCTTGGCTGCAGTGTTATATGTCATCTTTATCAAGCATGATCTATGTCTCTGAAATGCAGCAGCTTTGGTTTATTCCATCAGTCAGTCAAGAGCAAAAAATAAAAATAAATACAAGAATACAAGAAAAATACAGTGCAAAAGGGATGCACTGACATATCACTTTAAATGCAAATCACATTGCTAGGGAACTACGGTAGAGTATAAGAAATTATCCTATTTAACACTTAAAAAATGCAGTCCTTTCCAACTTTGGCACATCACATACCTTTACGCAGGTTTACTGATACTGTTTGCGAGGGCTGCTGAGGCATTAAATGGGGTTAATTAGTGCAAATGGGCAATCAGATTTTCTATTGATTGTGACAGTGCAGATTGCCTTCCAGATAAATGAAATCCTATAACTCTGAGTCCTGCTGCAGATACTGATAATGCTGTTAGCGGCCATTAATGCTCTTCCGTAATTAGCTTATATCAAAGTAATTAAAACAATGACAGTGTAAAGTAATTGCGTTACATGCTAACTCAATATTTCGTCTGTGTTATCTCAACCTATATGCTCGATATCTTGTTTTCAGAGTATAATGGAGGGCCCTTTCACCATTTTTGATGTGGGTCATGTGGGTCATTGTGTTCATTATGTCCCGAAGTGATTTCACGGAATGTCTCTGTTGATAGTGATTTACAAGACAAGGCTAAAAGAGGGCTAAAAAGATGATAGATTATATAATCATGAGTTATGTATTGTAAAACTATATATTGGCATAAAGTTTGTGTTATGCTGATATTATGATCTGTTAAAAACTTTAAAAAGTTACAATAAAAATAATTAAAATTATACAAGTAAAAGGTATTATTAGTATCAATGACATTGAAATTTTTGGACATTGACTTTAAAGTTTTTAAAAGTTTACATAATATACATACATACAGTATATATATATATATATATATATATATATTGTGAATTTAAAATAAACAGTTGTGCTGATTAATATTCTTGCGGAAACCAAAGAGATCCTTTTTTCTGGGTTCTTTGATAAATAGTAAGTTTGAAAGAACAGCATTTATAGTAGTCTTATTGACCCTAGACCTTGAACAGTATATAGAGTATTAGACCTGTCTTTTTAGACTGGACTATAATAAACACAATGAATGTTCTTAAAACATTAGATCTCCATCACAGTTATTCATCAGGGCCTAATTTGAGGTCAAAGGTCATTGGTGCTGAGGAGGTCATTGGTGGTGACTGTACAGTAAGATGGATCCCCCCGCGGGCCATTGACCCATCATCAGGAAGATGTTAGAGTGGAGAAGATCAATGAACACTCAAAGAGAGCAGTCAACACCTGCTGATACAAACACTGTTTGAAAAGCTCAGCTCAAGAGCGCCCATCAATGAGCTGCAAAGAGATATTGAACTGCAAAGGAGCTCAGAGAGTTGTGGGATTTCAATCACCACTACATTGACGCTGTACATTGTGATGTGATGTGGCTGAAAAGGAGACGATACTTACCCAAGTCAGTCATATACAGGCCAACAACATCTGTTTTTCAGACCTTAAAAGAGGTAAAAGTGAAAAAAAAAAAAAAATCAGTCAGTTTTAGGACTGGGTTGATAATATGGATTACTCGATTTGAATCAGTCTTCATTTTGAATAACGATTATCAATACCCTAGGTCGAATTTTTTTAGTCTGTGCTGTTTTCAGTTCAGAGGAATGAACAAAACTTCACTATGCTTTGTGTGTTGTTTTTTGATATGAAACACAGCCATAGCTTTTGTCAATTTGTAGGTAGTTTTTGTCAATCAGTTCAATCAGCAGCATGGAAGGCATTTCAACCAATCATCTCTTTCCCTTTTCTACTAGTTTTAGCACAAAATAAACATAAATGAACATCAGAAGGTATGCTGAAAGATACAGTACAGCTTACTGAAATGTATCATCTCTCATGTAATCGCCTGAATCAGTGTTCCAGCTGTGAAAATAAAACAATAAAAACAATAAAACGGCTTGTAAACAATGTCATGTAATATTACAATTATCTCAAGAAAGCCAAAATGCCCATAGCTAAAAAAAAAACAACAACTCTAGATAGGTGCATTTTGATTAATATATGCAGTAGATAACATATTTATTATATTCTTACTTAACCTGTTAATGATGTTTCATGTATTGTATATTTGAATAAGTCTGTCATATTTTAGTTATTTAAACAAATTCGAGAATTTGAGTAGAAACATATCATTAAAAAGTTCATATGAAATGTGCAATTTATGTGCCTTATGTGCAATTTAAAATGTTTGTATTCAAGTCAGTTTTTATTTGAATGTTGATTACTATATCTTAAAATAAATAGCAACTGAATTTGGACTCTTTTGTTAATTTTAACCTTTGATATTATAGTAATGTACCATAGTAATGTATAATAGTCTACAGCAGTTATCCTTAATATATACACACTTGACTTTAAGGTTGTTTTAACTCAAAGCTTTGCCAACCCACAAGAGGCCAAGATGGGAAAACAGGTAAAAACGAAGAAAGCAGGATTATCTGATGAAGTCATGCATCCTGCTGAGTGTGACTACAAGGTTTAATCACTCACGCAAACACACATTCACTTACTCACAACACATACACAAGTAGAAAGCAAGGGAAAAAGTTTTAGCCGAAACTGTGTGTCATGAGTGATAGTGTGGTGCTAATTACCAGCTGTGTTGGACAACATCAGCCTCCTGCCTTATTGAATGGAAAAACGATCACAGTTGTCAAAACTGATCACTCACTTACAGTGACTAGGACGGCAGGTTGTAATAGGGCACTGACTCACTCCCAAAACACAGAGCAGACGAGGCTGCTTCTTCCACGCTGGAAAACAGCGCTTCTCGAATACGAGACACGGGACTAGAGGTCTCCAGGGTTGGCCACTATACAATGTGGCACTGCCTGAAGTCGACAGCCCTAATTATAAACATCTGAGAGGGCTTGTGATCTGTCACCAGGCAACATCGGCTAGATGGCAACATTGGCCTAAACGACGTCTGTTAGAATCAGAGCTCTGTCAATCACAGGATGCCGTGGAGTCTAATTTTACATACGCTGAGTATGTTCGCAGCTAGCGTGCCATCTGATGGAGTCGCTTTAATTTAAGTAAATTAGTGAATCTTTCCATTAGCAGTGGATTTGGAGGATCTAGGTGCCCTGAATGTACATTATTTATAATGAATTTTGTTGTTATTGTCAACTTTTAATAACAGTGCGCCGGTGCTCTCTACATTACCTTTAATCTTTAATTAAGGAAAACTTGCATTTATAAGCACTGAGCTCATGTAATTTGAATGCTAGATCTAGATGAGACATCTAGCTAGATGGTCTCAAAATGAGCTTTTAGGAGAAAAGAGCAAGACATCAGGGAAGGTATAGGCCTAGGCTATTCTAAACTGATTCTCTCATGGTCACATGAAAGCAAGTGTTAGGGGATTCTGTGTTTATTAATTATGAATGCTAATTCAAAAAGCACACAGAGGTACATGTCAATGGATGATTACATTAATGTTAACCTTAAGCCTTTGAAAACAAACCCAAGAAATGACATAAACAATAAAAATATAATAAAATTTTCTTTTTTTTAGCAATGTTGAGAAGGGCTGTGCTGCTTAATATTTTTGTAGAAACTATTTTTTCAGGATTCTTATCATGTGCAAAAGAACAGCATTTATTTGAAATGGTAGGAATGTAACGATTTACTCAACTCACGATTCGATACGATTCACGGTACTGATTTCACGGTATGATTTTATCATGATTTTTTTCTAACAAAATGAGATTTAAGACAAGTTATGGATGAAAAGGTGTCCTTTTATTATTTCTCAGACAAAATGCTGCACATCTCTGCACATTTGAAACAGAATGGTCTGACTTCAGCTTTTTGAAACTATATTATGTATAACATCTGAATAGGGATGTAACGATTCACTCAACTCACGATTCGATTCTATTCACGAGATTTAAGACAAATTATAAATTAAATATGTCCTTTTATTATTGCTTGAACAAAATGCTGCACATTTCTTTGTGAAATAGAAATATAACACTATAATAATATACTAATGTAGCACTTGCATATTATTGCTCTTTTGTTCCTCAGACATACATTCATATAAGCTAACCCTAATTGAATCGTGATTTGTTTAGCGTCTCAACCGATTTGAATCGTCACATATTTAAATCGATTTTCAACTGGCTCGCGGTTAATCGTTACATCCCTACATCTGAATGAAACCGAAACAGCAGACGGGTTTAATGAGAACGTAAATTCACTCTCTGCCAGCAGGTGGCACTTATGGAACAGCGGCAATACAGCCTTTCCTTGTTTACCGCAGTAAACAAAGAAGCTGCGCTTATTAACACTTCTTTAATGTGCATTACACAGATGAAAGATGAAATGAAAATACCATCTTAACTTTTCTGTAGAAGGTTAGCTCCCCTCAAAGATATATTCTTATCCCACCCCAAACAATCTCAACCGACTTGAATCGTCACATACAGTAGGCTATTTGTATCGATTTTCAACTGGCTCGGGATGCATCATTACATCTCTATGAAATGGTAATCTTTTGTAACGTTATGAATGTCTTTACTGTCACTTTTGATCAATTTAATGCATCCTTACTGAATAAAAGTATTAATTTATTTTAAAAAATTACTGACGGAAGTGTATTAATCACAAAAATGAGTGGAGCTGTAGAAAAAATTTTCCTTTTTTATAATTTTTGCTCCTTTTAAATTGACTTGTAAGAATGACAAAGCATATCACACAGTATAATTAACTCCCATTAATTAACCGTGACTCTCCTTCTTACCCAGGAGAGTGATAGTCTGTGGTGGGATGCATTTGCTACAGAGTTCTTTGAGGAGGACGCTACATTGACCGTTGCCTTCTGCCTGGAGGATGGACCAAAAAGATACAGTAAGATTTCAGCTTTTATCTTGTGCCAGTGTCATCTTATCTGCAAATTTGCTTGTACTGGTGCCAGTTAAAACCAGGCTTGACGGTACATGACTGTGTCTATGGAGTCTGGAAATGTAGAAGTTAATGATCCATAAAAATCTGTAGAGGACTTTGAATCCACTAAATCCAGCAGATCTTATTGACTTTTATTGGTCTTCCAGGAAATAAGTTCCCTAAATGTCCCATAAAAACAACACTGTGGTTAATGGCCTTACATCTCACTATGGAGAAGTAGACTAAGAAAGTGTTGTAATTGGTAAACTGACTTGCAAGTAGTTTAAAGTAAACTGACGAGCTGCGCAAAACCACGTTCATATTCGCTCAATTTTTTGCGCAGCTTGTCAGTGAACAACGGCTCTGTGTAGTTAATGCTGCTCAATGTGAAAGCACGCACGTGATGGAGATTTACCGCTGATTACAGAACCGGCTTTACTGACAAGATGCGCGTTAAATATCGCATGCGATTTATCGTGCAGCCCTACTTTTCCAAGGTTCATATTTGTGAATTATTTTACCTGCAGCTCTGCCAGAATTTGTCTAAACACCTTGAAAAGCATGAGAAAGTAATTGTTTGCAGTAGTTTTGGCTGCATTTGCCATAGCTCTGCAAGCCTGTCCATTTTTTTTCTTTTCTGCACACTTTCCCTATCTTTCTCTCTGATGATTTGAGCTGTTTTCTGTGCTTATTGAGTTCTCTGCTTTTGGTTAGTCATGCAGAACACTGCCTGTTGCAAAGAACGTGTGAGTCAAACATTCACAGAAGCCCACCCCGTTCCGGGGGTCTTTGTAGTGCTGATGCGCGTTAAATATCGCATGCGATTTATCGTGCAGCCCTACTTTTGCAAGGTTCATATTTGTGAATTATTTTACCTGCAGCTCTGCCAGAATTTGTCTAAACACCTTGAAAAGCATGAGAAAGTAATTGTTTGTAGTAGTTTTGGCTGCATTTGCCATAGCTCTGCAAGCCTGTCCATTTTTTTTCTTTTCTGCACACTTTCCCTATCTTTCTCTCTGATGATTTGAGCTGTTTTCTGTCCTTATTGAGTTCTCTGCTTTTGGTTAGTCATGCAGAACACTGCCTGTTGCAAAGAACGTGTGAGTCAAACATTCACAGAAGCCCACCCCGTTCCGGGGGTCTTTGTAGTGCTGATAGATTCAGAAATATATACTTTTATTATGCAAAATAAATATGCCATTGGACTGTGGGCAGCATTACAATAGCCTCAGCTTTAGCCTCTTTTCAAGACATGGCAGTTTATTTTTCTTCATTTGGAGAAGTTTGAATAGTTTTAATTGAACAAAGGCATAAAATTCAAACACTAAAATATTTAATTTGTCATTTAAGATGTCATTTCAGATGCCAGCAAATGACAAGTTTCAAAGGGTTCTTCTTTGTATGTTAATTCTACATTGCAGCATGTAATATTTTGTAATTCTCACATACACCATTTAAAAGTGTAAAGACCAAAGCTTGCGTTGGCTCCGGAGGCCCATAGGGAACCAATCCTCCATATCGATTGAGGAGGGAGTTCAGTCCGTCTCTTGTGACAGCTCATCTTTAATCTTCAGAAATGACTCCTCTTAGTTTCAGCCACAAACATACACCCTCACTCCATCACTGTCACTCACACACAAACACAAGCGCTGCATTCTACATTTGCTCAGGCCCTTTATAAATTTCTCAGTCCTCACTCCACCAAGCATCATTAGGGATTTTCTGCATCGGTGTAGCCTCACATCAGTATGCTTGTTTTATTCTTGCTTGTCTTTGTATGACATGTTTACAGTAATCACTGTTCAGATTCCATTGAGTAACTCATTCCTCTGCTTTACATTTCAAGACATCAGATCAAAGGTAATCTAATGCACTTTTTGTTCACCATGTCCTGATTTAATGTATTTACCTGTTTATGAATTATTTATTTGAAATAAGGTCATATCGCACACATCCAATGTCGCATTTTTAATGCACCCTCTGGAATACTTGATCCTATGTCCATTAACCTGTAGAATTGATTTGTTGTCCAAGGTAACCTTAGCGGAAGCTTTAAGATAATCTACAAGTAAACTAATAAAACAATTTAATCTTTAATCAATATGTACTTTTATCTGTTTATTTGGTCAGTAGCCAAGTAATAAACGGGATAATGTACAGTCAACAGCCAGTCATTATTGCAAATAAACCTAAAACAAGGGATAATTGTACATTATCTAACTCTAATTTTGCAATTCTTAGGTCTAAATTTGATGTCATAATGAAATGATTTCTATATTATGTTTTTATATGATGTAAAAAAAATTTTTATTTGGGAATATTTTCAGCATAGTTTAAGCTAGAAAATATCGGTTAGATCATTATTCTGCACTAAATTAAACACAAAAATGTTATTTTACCTTTCCATTTTACTTGTAATTTTTTTTTCAGGCAAAAATAAAAGGCTATTGCTTCTATAGAGGAGATTCAGCTAAAAAACACCCACTCTACAAACATATATTTGACTTTATTTATTTAAAAACAGTGACATTTCTGCCAACTTCAAGGCCTTCATCACTCACCCGAAAATGATTATTTACTCATTATTTATTTTACGTTCATAGTTCCCTAGATGCCTAGTCACATTACATTTTAACAGCTGTTTCAAATAAAGAAAGGTTCCTAATGGTTGTTCAAACTATTACCCATTAAAAATGGGTATAGCTGAATAAATGAAATTAAAAACTTAACATGATTACACTTAAAAACTCTCTTCATAGTTATGAAAACCCTGAGCAGATTCTTTCAAGTACTAAGAAATCTCCTCAGACTATCTCCAGACATATATAAAATATCCCTTTCAAGCATAAAATCAAGAAGCATTGCTTTACACTTATATTCACAAATATGATAAGATGTGGGCGTTATTTCACCACAGTGCATTGTGGATGGATGGATAATGGATGGATTATTGAAATGCATTCGTTTAAATGGCCTCACATTCTCCTTCTCTTTTCTCTTTCTCTCATTCTCACTCTCCAGGACTGAAGCTGTTCTTCTATGTCTGTTCTCATTTCTTGTCTCCTGAAGTGTTAAAAGATTAATTTCTCCATTGAATGTTTCTCTGCATATCTAATTCAAATAAAATATTTTATAAATAATACATCTATAAAAAAAGTAAGAAAAGATTTTACACAATATGCTATTTTTATGTATATTAGGTTAGCTTAGTAACATTAGCTACCATCAAACTCCAGTGAAATCAATAGTGGGTCAAGTCCCTCGTGTGCCTCACATGAGTGTGTGGAGCGTGGAGCTGTATCGATGTAGACCGTTCTGAATCAGTCACTTATGCGTTTCCATTTCAGGTAGGATTTTGCCTCAGAAGGCAGCTGCCTATGTAGGCTACAGACAGCTGCCCGCTCGCTTTGGAATAGGACTTACAATGTGGTTTGGCATGTACCACCCTATAGCCACCTGAAGACGGGAACCTTTCAAATCAACATTTTAGCTCATTGATCTGCAGCACGCAAACCTGAACGCAGGACCATATACAACCTGTTTCTGTAGCTGATTTCTGAAATACTGTGAAGTGCTTTAGTTCAGTATTTTCTTCACATCTCTCCTCATGGACATTATTAGCGGGGGAATAATTAATATCTGAACTGAAACACTGTTCTTGCTTTGGGTTGAGGCGAGGAGAGTTTCAAAGCGTGATGCAATGCCCCTGCAACTGTGACACCCTAGAAAACTTCCACCACTGAACCGCAACACTTCATCAGACAATAACAAACAAACCAAAGACGAATTTATTAGCAGATTTGGATGAAGACAGTTGGAATCTGTTTTGTTTTTGTTCGCTGTTGTAGAATGGCATCAGTTTCGGTTTAAGTCAAGAAAAACCAAGGCTCATTAATCAGGTTCGAGTTGAACTGAACAATTTACAAGCTCCAGTAAATTTTCACCGAGATTACCGTTTACTGATCTGAGAAACTTAACCAATGTTCCAGTGATCAAATCATGTCTGCATTCTGCCAGATTTCTAGAAAATCACTGCTACTGCGCTAAATAGAGCAGTCCAGAACGAGCGATGCCCGATTCACTTGTTTGAGTCGGTTCCTTTTAATGAATTGGTTTCGCAAATGAGTCTAAACAGCTCATTTACAGACTTAACCATTTGGAAAAGTCTTTATTACAATAAACAACTGAATGTGAAGCTTGTGAATGATTCTGTTACAGGTAAAAACATTTTACAGCAAACTATACCAAAACACTAGCAGTGTGTGAAAAAACTAGTGCCATGGCATTATAATATTTTTAGAGATGTACAGTGTAAATTCTGTGTTACCTGAATACGGTAATATTCGTGTCGTATATGAATACCATGGTGCTTTTTACCAGGCAGCTTTTTAGGCCGCAGTTATTGAGTCTTTTGAGGATGGTTTGTGTCACGTATCTGGTCCATGAACTTCCGTCTGCTAGCCATCAGAGGTCACCCTTCCCATTTCATTGACTCTCGCACTACACACTGTTGCATATCACCCCGGACTACATATCCCATCATCCACTGCACTGATGACACACACACAGTTGATTGCACACAGCACTGATTGCACACAGCTGTTATCACTCACACATCCCCTATTTAACTCTCACTCTGATCCCATTCCACTGCCGAGTATTGTTTAGCGATTATCACTCCCCTTTCGATAGCTACATTACAGAGCCCGTTTAGTTTGTCTTAGCCTCACCTTAGTCTTGCCTTGTCTGTGTTCTTATTCTTGATCTTCGCCTGTGTCTCTCGGATTCCTCCTCTCGTCTTGCCCTATTTTGATTCTGTTTGCCCCTGCCTGGACCTTGCCTTGTACCTGGACGTATCCCTTTAGTCTTGCCCTTTTGATTCTGTTCGCCGTTCGTTGACCTTCGCTAGCCCTAGGATTATTCTTGTGTCTTGCAGTTGATTGCACACAGCACTGATTGCACAC